CTTTCCGTCGATTGCCTCGCCGCTCAACCATCTCTCTCTCTCTCTCTCTCTCTCTCTCTCTCTCTCTCTCTCTCTCTCTCTCTCTCTCTCTCTCTCTTACTTACCCGTCGCGGACAGCCGTGTACCCTGCCGCTCGCTTCTCTAGTCTGACCTTTCCCAAGCTGTCAAATGAAACAGGAACGCCAATTGAAGGTTCTACCAGCAGGGGTGTCATCAGCTCGGGGAGGACCCTTGGACGCAAGCGAGGCAGGGGGCGGCGGGCAAACCTTCGCCCCTCCTAGAGGCGCGGATTCCTTGTCCACCTTTCCTTCGATTGCCTCGCCGCTCAACCATCTCTCTCTCTCTCTCTCTCTCTCTCTCTCTCTCTCTCTCTCTCTCTCTCTCTCTCTCTCTTACCCACCGCGAACAGCAGTGTACCCTGCCGCTCTCTTCTTTAGTCTAACCTTTCCTTAGCTGTCAAACAAAACAGGAACGCCAATTGAAGGGTCTACCGGCGGCGGTGTCATCAGCTCGGGGAGGACCCTCGGACGTAGGCGAGGCGGACGGCGGGCAAACCTTCGCCCCTACTAAAGGCGTGGATTCCTTGTCCACACCCGCCGCTGCGGCAGACTTACCGGCAGACCCTTCAATTGGCCGCCCACGGTGCCCTCCGCCGTTCCACCGACTTGGCTTGACGCGGAGTCCTCCGGACTTGCACCTGCACCCGCCGGCTCAGTTCCGCCGCCTTACCATCCGTCCCAGCTGCCCCAAACCTTTGGCTCGGAGACAAGCCTTGCACGCCTTTCTGGCTCGGAAATGAGCCTCGGACTCCGCGCCAGGCCCAGTCGGTGGAACGGCGGAGGGCACCGTGGGCGGCCAATTGAAGGGTCTACCGGCGCGGGTGTCATCAGCCCGCCCACGGTGCCCTTCGCCGTTCCACCTACTGGGCTTGGCGCGGAGTCTTCCGGACTTGCACCTGGACCCGCCGGCTCTTTACGCCCCAGTTCCGCCGCCTTGCCGTCCTTCCCAGCTGCCCCAGACCTTTGGCTCGGAAACGGTGTCGGGCGCATCGGTCCGGCACCGCACGTGGCAGCGCGGGACCCTCTCAGCCGCGTCATGCAGGAGTTGGACCAACCTCATCGCGAACACACAAATGGAGCTTCCTTAGGCCGCTCCGGCCGAGTGCGCCAGCCATACCTTTCGTGAGCCCCTACGACAGGATAGGGCCTACGCGAGGCACAACTTACCTCCACCTTACGGGAGCTGTCACCTCTCTTCGGTGGGCGTATCCCCACTGAGCTACCAGTCCACAGTACGAAAGCTACTCGGTCGCAATCGCAAAGGTGGACCAGCCGAGGGCGTTTCTCGTTCGCTGTAGCATAGGGGGTATGCGCGCTAATACGCCTATCGGACCCGCACGCGAACCGGCATCTTGGGGGGCTGAAGTCTCAAGCGCGGCCCGACGTTGGTCGACTAGGATGCATCCCACACACCACGCGCACACCACCCTATGAACCCACAAAAAGAACACACACACACATACACACGAAACGACACAACACAAACAACGCGACAACACTCCTAGCCCCTTCAGTAGTCGTCCCTTTACCTTCCAATACGGAAATCGGGTATGCGTCGCGAGCGAGACACAATGTAAAACCGCACGGACGCAGGGCTAACTCATATCGACTCGCAATGCAAGCGTACGCAAGCAGTCACAATGATGGCGTACTATGTAATGCCCATAATCAAGCGGTCCCTCATGGATCCGAATACCGCTTATGACACTCAAGTGTCAGACTCGAAGTGTCGTGAGGGTCTAACTCCTCACGATATTGCACGGCTGAAGGAATAGTCGTGCAGCCGCCACGAGACCTCCGGCCTTTGGTCTGAGTGTCTCGATAGGCAAGGCAGATAGGTTCTGCCTGGGGACAGATTCCTTCCCTGCAGAGTCTAGGGCTTGGGATTTCTTGGACAAGGGCCTTGACTCCCGGCCCAGGACCAACGTCCGACGATAAAAATCTCTAAAAAGCAAAGGGTAAAAGAGGGTCTTCCTTTTCTCTCCCGCCAAAATCAAGTTATCCTTGCGCACGATCACAGTAAGTCGTGTGCATATCCAAGGCACATATAAATATATATATATATATAAGGCTTATTTATATAGGACGATCACTTCTCACAGTCACATATGGGCTCCTCTCAGCCATATATGTATGTAATCGGAGGCAGTCACATCCAGAAGCCGAACCACAACCATACATGCAATCATATCAAAGATTCATCCAGAAGTCCACGCACTACACGGGGTCAACTTCAAC